TCTTCAATTAGATGTGATGATTAGGGTGATTAAATAAACTGAAATCACATTTTTTACCTCACCATTCTTTGTTATCTATTTTTAATTTCAGTGCCTCATCTTTTTCTGTAATCATCATCTGCTTTCAGTCAAAGGATCTTCATTTGGATTTATCATGAGCCACCTACTCTTTAGTTCTTGTCATACAACAATAAACTTATTTCATTAAAAAAAATAAATTGTATGAATAAAGTAGTTTCTTTCCATCCCATGTGCAGAGATCAAATATACCTACACCTGTTTGTTTCCTGAGGAAAATATTCATAGTATTAAGTTTTATTCTTATTCATACAGTAGCCAAAGAAGATCGTAAAACATGTCAGCTTGATGACCCTATTGAGATACCTTAATATCATTGCTTTCAGTGCCTAATTCTTCTTAGTCCTTTAGCCCTCTGAATAAGAGTCTAAACAACTTAATTTATTTAAATTATGGAACCGCATTGTAGGTACCAGTGATACAAAGGATCTTTTTCGTTTTTATACTTGATGATGTTAATGTTCCAGATGTGTTCTATGACTATTTTGCTGCTTGAACCACTGTGTGCAGAGGGATCATTTGTATCCTTTGGGAGGGGTCATCACTTTGATTGCAACAAAAATAACTCAGCAGTGCTTCCAGTGTGAGGGTGCACATGGGTGACAAATTGTATCAATTGATAAAACAGTGGTACATGATAATACATGCTGGTTCACTAAAATGCCCCCACACGAAATTTGGACAAATCAAGCCTATCTTCTCTTGTTCCAAAAAAATATTGTAGCACATCTTCTAGTATCCAATAGAAAAGATGAAGATGGTCTTGATCTTTGATCTTGGGAAAACTTGGCCTTGCTTTAGTACTTTAGTGAAATTCTTGTGTAATTGACTTAATAGCTCAGACTGAAAATAAAGCATTTGCATTGGTGTAGCACTTGAAGTAAAAATAATATTAAATAGGATCTCAGCAGGCTAAATTGCATACTCCTTGCCTATGACTTCCTAAAAAAGCACTTATCAAAATGAAAGCTGGGAAGGGGCAGTATTTTGAATTTATCTCTTCTAACCTCTGTCTCCTACATGATAATCCTTGCAGAGTCTGATGATTGAGCAAAGTAATTACCAAAGTAACAAAAGACTGAGCATCTTTTCCCAGTTTATATTCCAGAAAATGGGAACTGAGAAGTGAGGGATGTGAGATATGAAGAGGTTGAGGAGGTTCAGAATCTTTAGTGGGTAGTTTATGACAGTGTAACCAAAAGGATATGCAACATGTATGGCATATTAATAGAAAGTAGGACTGGATTGCACAGTCATATTAGTCATCTTAATTTTTTTTTAAACCCCAACTCCCAAGTATGTCCAATTCCCTTTTGGCAGGTTGTTTGATCTTCCTTATAGTCCTGATATTTCCTGTGCATTCAAATACTAACCAGGTTTAGCCTTGATGAGCTTTGATGAACTAAGCTGAACCAGGTTTGAAGGTTTCACAAGAGAACATGTAATTTATTAGTACATTATAATACATTAGTATTTATTTATTAGAATGTGCATTATCTTGTATTTAGATTCTAGATGTCAATTTTTAAGACAATGCTATTTCCTACTGATGGAAAATTCAATGCTGTCCAGGCTGGTATCTGCCATGTTTGCTCACTTTTTACCTAAGCTCCAGCATGTCTTACAGAATGTACCATACAAGGCATTTAACACACACAATAAGTGTCCTGATGAAAATATCAATATAGCCGTAGTTGCTCAGATAGCCATAAGTGAGGCTTCATAGAATTTATGGAGGAGTATCACCTCAATGTCTCTGTGTGTCTTCATCATTTCATTAATAGCAACTTCAGATCAGAGTTGCTATAGTACTGTGGCATCTGCCGAGGAAATATTATAGTGCCTAAACAAACCGTGGAAGAGCTTAATGCTTGACCCTGTAGGGCAGGCTTTTTTATTTGTCCCTGGAGGAAAAGTTCTATGCATGTGATCAGAATTAAATTGAAATTCTCTTGAGAAGAAAAATAGTCTGAGAATCCGAAGCCATAGAATAAAATTCTGGTTGGATCTAATAAAGGGGAGACTAGGTGAATGTGATTCATAACACAAAAGATTTGAATATAGTGGCTTCTTCCTACATTTTAGTCCCATTAACCTTCCCACAGTCCAATACTAGAAGCTATCTGAGGTAAGGGGCAGCCCTGTTCTCCCATGCTTTTTAAAATTCATATCTTATGTTTTAAATTCTATACTGTCTTTACTACTTACATTTTAAACATTAGAAACATCAATTTCTGCCTAATGTTCCAAGAAAAATTAATGAACCTAAGAACCTCACTGAATTAAAGACAAATGCATTGCTAAAGATTATTGCATTATTTTTTTCTGATGTCATGATTATACAGTTATGGCCCATTAAAAATCCAGGGCATTGTTTTTATTTTATTTTAGCTATTGCATTTCCTGAATTATGGCTTTTTTTGTCCCTGAAGTATCAGCAAGAAATGGAATACTAGGTATTTTGAGGGTGCACTCAGTATGTTTTATCATACTTGGGATTCTGACTTGTTAGTATTTGAAGATTTTTTTTATACCAAGTTTTATATAGACCGTATTTATTGAGCACTTTATTCAAAGAAGGAGAAGAAATTGTTTGGCTAGAATATGAAGCTGCTAATGATTCAATAAATGCACATCATTGAATTATTTCCCTCTCTTAGAACTGCGCTTCCTGTGTCATAAAATTATGCTCTGTAGGATTTGCATTCTGTAATAAGTTGCAGCAAAGACTTTGTATCACTTTGCTTAAATGTTTGATAGAATGAAACAGTAAAATGCAAATACAAATCAATTAATTTCATGATATTGCACTGATACATTTTTAAAAAGAACAACAAATGGAGAAAAATCAAATGCCTGACTATTTAGCAAACTGGTATAGAATAAAGATCAAGGAGTTTGGTCTTGAAAGGAAAAGGATTTTGACTAAAAGAGGACTGCCACAGGGATTGATGGGTTTATAGTGCTTAATAGAAATATTAAGCAGTTACTCAGTAACCTTGTGATAGGATGATGGGCATCTTAATCACTATTTTACCAAATTACAGGTAAATCTAAATTTCATCATGTGTACCTATCTTGGATATTATTTATAACATCATAATTCAAAATGTAAGGGAAATCTAATTTTTCAATTGGCCATCTTTATATTAAGAACCATTACTTTAATTTGCATTGGGCTTGGCTGGAATGAACTTGATGAAATTATGGTTGTATGGATTATATAGTTGCCGAGAAGAGACAATTATTAATTACATAATGTGGTTCTTCACAGATTAAATAGCTTTTCTAGCACTGGAGAATAGCAAATCAAGTTCATATTGATGAAAAATGGGTTTTATAAGGAGACCTCTACTGACACTATGGGACCTTTAATTAAGCACTGAAAGGGGGATTAAAAATGGAATTTCCATTATCCCCTTGCAAACAGCATTAAAACTCAACTAAGACCTTGACTGAATGTTGGTTTTTGACAAGTGATGTACGTACATTATAGCAAAGATCATGGCTCCACTATCTCTTCAGGCCATTATATACTCATCTTCTATCACATGAACTCTCCTCATGACTGGAGTAGCATCTATAACTGAATTTAGGGAAGTCTAGATTGGAAAGATTTTTTTCCCTCATCTCTTAAGTTCAGCTTAATTTACTTGGGCTTTCGCGGTCTCTGTTGATATGTCCCACTTTCACAAATTTGAAGATTTTGGATGTTTTTGCCCTCTGCTGGTGACAGTCGATCAGATAGTGCTTTGGTAGGATATTCTAGTGGTAGGTGTTTTATAGCCTCTATTAATCCTGACTGGTTAGATTTCCTCCCACCTTACAAATGTCTTAGGATGGTTGCATTGTCCTGTTTTCACATCACCAAGAGGGTTGCCAGCTTATGAACTATCCATTATCTTAAGTCCCATTAGAATGACTTCATCATAAATCTGGTCAGATAGTTAGGTCGTGAACTGTTTAAATCTTAATGACTTAATGACTTTGACTATATTGGCTCCCATATACTTGCATCATATAGTTTATACTTTGTGAGCAAATGGGCAATTCCACTATAATGTTCATAACTTTGTTTTACATTTTCTGACGGCAGTCCTATCTAGGATTTCATCATAGTCTTGAAGAGTGCAAAGTTTCTTACAACAGCCAAACCATTTCATAGGATAGTGATCTGGGAACCTAGTCTCAAAAATGTATATACTAAGGTTTCCCTGACATTTTAGGCATGAATCTTCAAAATACTGTAGAAGTGGCATGCATCCCTACTTTCCCTGTATTCTGAAAACGTTTCTATTGACACTTCTGGGAGTGTTGGACTGGTTGCAGGGGATACTCTCCACTTCAGTTTGTTTCTACCTAACTGGCATGTTTAATTCTTCCCCCGTTTTATTTTTTATAGCTCCATTACTTTAATTTTCTCCTCTTTCTTCTATTCTATTCTCTTAAATTCCATCCCAGCTTGTACTTCTCATGTCCTGAGCTCAAGCAGATAGATGGATCCCATTTACAGTAGTGCTTGAGATGACTTCCGTAGCCTTTGGCACAAGTCTTGGAATCTAACAAACTGCAAAATATCTTCTAATAGCTACACAAGAAAAGTGTGTCCCCATTTTTCAGTAGCATAAGAGTTTTTCTGCCCCCTTAACACTAACTTAAATATCCTGTCAAATTTGGAAGTTTCTCTGTCACCATCTATTTTCCAGGCAGTGTCTCTTTTGGTGTCCTCCCCCTAAACTCAGTTTTATGAGAATGACAAGAGGCTCTACAACCTGTACTGCCTTTCTGGTAAATAAGAGACAATATGGAACATAGTTAAATAACTTCTATAATATGTCTTGTAATACAAGTGAGTGTGATGATCGGCTACAATCTTTCCCTTTCCTTTTGGGAGATAAATCAATCACAACAAAGTTAAAAAAGATGTTTATTTAAGTAATTCAAAAGATATATGAATTTGATCTACAAAAACACATTCACTACTCTGAGCAAACACAGTATGGTCCCAGTTGACTACAATTAGAGATATTGGGAAAGAGATGTTTTTGAAAATTTGTTATCATCCTAGATATTAAGTAAATCTTGAATTCAGTCTGAAATTACTCAGAATGTCCTAAATGTGCAGAAATAAAGGAGGGGAGAGAACAAGGCTTTTAAATCAGGCAGAAGAAATTAAAACAATGCAATGTCTAACTAGAGCAATTACTGATTTCTGTAACAAAGGATTTAAAATAATCTGAATCCTGCTGGGGAAATTCAGTACACTCTTATTTATTTTCCTAGTTTAGATACGGAAACCTCTTGCTTCACAAGTCTGGAATTCTGTTTTTGTCTTTGTCTAAAAGAATAGAACTTTTCTATGTCTATGAGAGGAGTTGAGGAATCACCAAGCACATGTAGTAAAGGGCACACAGCCAAGATGCTTATATTCAAATTCAGATGCTGTCTTAACATTTAAACAGACAGAAAGACTCCATATTATGAACACAGGGTGATTATTCACAAGAAAAACTATTCCCCAACACATATGCATACATCTATGGTAATTTGGGATCTCCCTCCTTGTTTATTCTGTGTACCCATAGTTCTAAATCTACAGCATCCGGTTTTAAATGTCATTTTAGTCAAAATTATACAATTCTTAGTGTATAAAACTGTATACAATACACTTCTACAGTTCATCTGAAATCTGAGCAGTCAAATTCAGACTTTCTACACAGAATTCAATCTCTGGAATGTAGAATTCTACTATGAATTCAGTAGATAATAGCTAATATATTTTGGGGGGAAATCATGAAGAAAAAGTGCACAATTACTTCGTTAGAATATGTTCTATAATAATCATGCTCTGCTTCCACCAATGAACAAAGTCTCCAGTTCAGCAGTTGTAGGATCCACCAAATCAACCTCTTCTTTAAAGAAGCCTTCTTCAAGTTTCTTCCACCAGGGCCACTGCATATATTTTAATATTGTATTATGGGATTGTTTGGCTTTAGCTACCACAGGAACTGATCTGCTCATAAAGACATTCAGATCCCTCATGGTACATTCTGAGAGACTTGGAGCACCTATGGCAAAAATACATATATTCTTTAAAATTGGTTAACCTTCTCTTCATTTGCAGTTTTTATCATCTTGTTTTCAAAGTAGCATCCTACAACGATGCAATAGGAAATACATATAGGAGCAATGCAGCCAAAGTACACAGAAGCACAGAAGTTCTAACAAGTAAAGTGCATGCTACATATCACATGTGAAAGGAAAGAAACCAAGAAAATAGAGAGAAGCATTTAAGGACGAGAAATTAGTGGTTGTCCAGATCAAAATAAATAAAAATCATAATGGTTTTTTTGGCAGTTTGAAGTAAGGTTGAATTGTATATAAATAAGAGTTTATGTGTAACATACATAATTTGCTATCATAAGATTCGTTTATGATCACAACTTGGGTTGCTTTAAAAGATTAGAACAAACTACATTTAATCTGAAACTAATTTTTCAGGTTTTAGAGTCCAATTGAATTTTAGCAGCAAATCCTTTTAAAGTATAGTACACGTTATTACATATTTTGTGGTAGAAAACAATAAAAAGGTGCCTAAGCTCTCCACCTGCCCCAATTATTTATTATGTCTTATCTTAGATGAAAATAATGCAATGTTATAAGTACATGGTTTGGAAGTAGACATCAAACTTAGGAAAGACTAAAAATGATAGAAGCAAAACGATAACTAACATTTTAAAAGGCGAATCTGAAGACCTAAACAACATTGGTTATATTACAGGTTAAAATTTCTACATGGAAGCAATAGTTAAGGATGGGACTAATAACAGAGTGTGTATGTTGACAGGTAATATAATAACAGAGTGGGCCAAAACTGTCCATAAATTATTCTCATGGGGAAAGTATCTCTTGAATTTTCTAACACAAAAAGCATCTCTAGTGTTGTTTCTGAAGAATATTGTGGAAAATATTAGACATATTGAACTAGCAGAAATGGCAAAATTAATTTGTTTGATTAGAGAAAGATCAATAACTACATTTACTAGTGACTGGAATGCCCTTGTGGTTCTTGCTAAAAAAAGAAAAGAATTTGTAATTTATTGGTTTGAATTTAGAAAGCATAGCTTAAGGAAAGAACAAAATTATGATATAACCTGGGAGGGAGGTATATATTTAGTGTCACAACCCCTGGTATGCCCCAATTATGGGAGAAAGTCCACTGCTTCCATTCTCTGTCCATCGGCTCGTCACAATATATATATATATTAATGTGTTATGTTTGTGCTGATAAATAAATAAAGGGAGACTAGTATAGATCTATTTCAAGCTATTTAGCTCTCATCAGCTAGCCATACCCTTACTGGGATTCGAACCTGGGCTGTATTGCATCTTAGGCAGATGTGTTAACTATACATACATACATACATACATACATACATACATACATACATACATACATACATACATACA